ATGCGATCAAAAAAAGACCGAACACCCTTCTGCGAAGCTTTGAACACGTCCGTTGTGGTGCCGAGGTAGGACTTCTCTCCGCGCTAATTCAGGTCCAGTGCTACAGACATGCTTTGGGCATTACAGTAAATCACAAGGGTTGGAGCTTCCTGGCCCTGGCCTTAAAGCCTTCAGGCCTGGGTAAACCTGGAAATCTTTCGCTCTTTTGGACGCCGAAAGCATGGACCGAAAGCGCCGAAAAAAAACCGCCGCCCATCGCCGCCCACCGTCGCCGCCGTCCACCGTCGCTCCCAAGGCGTGCGCGACGGCGACCCGTGCGGGGCTTCGGATCGGGTGGGGAGCGACAGTGGGACCTTGGACTACTCCACCGACGACGAGGAGCGAGCCGAGACGTCGACGTCTGGACACAGCGAGGGGGGGGACGTAAGCTGTGCTTCAACATCCTGCCATGTTCGAGATGCTTTGACCATCAAAGTCACAAGGATTCTAGCCAAAAGTTCCTCCAAAAGCGGGTCTCGTGATCAAAATTGCTGTTGAAAGGTGGTTCCTGTTTTTTAGATATCCTGCCGCTTGCGGATTCGAAAGGTGTACACTCACTGAACACTTGAACACTCTTTTGGTTCCACTCCGTTCCGCTGCAATAGCTTTTTGGAGGTTCCCACAGAGCCAGAATCGATTTCATCTCGAACTCATCCTTTCAGAGTAGCTCTCTTACGAGCACACGTGAAACATGCACATGGCCCTGGAAAACATGACCCAAGCAGCTAGTATACAGCTGGAGCAGCTCCTTCAAAGGCCTCCACCCCCCTTCACCCCGCAGTCCTCCTCTGGGTGGACCGACCTGCCACGCTCCGCGCCAGGACCCACCAGACCTGGACGAGGCGCCCGAGACGGCGGAGAAGGCGAGCGAACGAGCCGGACCGGCCCGTGTGGAGCGGATCCTGCCGCCGATGCTGCTGTGACAGGACCGGGAGAAACGGGAGGAGCTGAAGGGCTTGTAGGGTTTGTAGGGACGTCGGTGTCTTCGTCTTTGGGCGGACTAAAGGCTAAAGGGGATTTGATGGGAGGGTGGTGGGAGAGGTCTCTTCTCTGGTCAAAATATGTGTTTCAGCAGGTCCTAGTCTCGCATGATGCCGCATTCCTTTTGATTGGTTGCTGTCGGAAGAAGTGTTGGTTCGTATCACTGGGCGTTTGGGCAGACGACAGTTTGATTAATATGTGTTTTTTTCCCGAATGCGTAGCGAAGGGTTCTCGTTGTTTTTTGTGTGTGTTTTTTTTCAGCTGGTTGTGGGCTGGAAATGCACGATCTGATGTGAAAGGACTCGATCAATGCATGATGAGATGGAGGGCGGTCTTGACGTCTGCATGATGAGCTGCTGTGATGTGGGTTTGGAAATGACATGAAATGATGTACATGGTACATATTGAACAGTGACTCCTAAAGACAGCATGGTTGACCTTTAAGACACATTTGGCGATGAAACGTGTCTTTTGCATCCCTTGGAAACTGTTAAACATGCAAGAGCTCCGCAGTCTTTGAACAAGGAAATAATTTGTTTTCAACACTTGTACTGCCGGTTCCGGCATGTTGCCAGACCCACAGCCACGTCAGCTTTGTACAAAGATAGGAATGTTCATGTCGACAGCACACAGGCAACAACTGCCTGGTCGAAGTGGTGCTCAAAGGAGTCAAAGAAACGAGCAGATGACTCAGTCAAAGTTGCCAGTTGTATAGCCTATAGAAAGGACTGGATGAAACCACCGCTAGCTTGGCAGAAGAGTCTTAGATTGAGGGAGTGAAGCAGCACTAACATGGACAGTCTCGGATGCCTTTGCCGCAGCTGGAGCGTCTCGAAGGAGAGCACGGAGGCTCCAACAAGTCCGTCAGATGGGCCGGTCGCATGTTCCAGTTCAGCGCCGAAGCACCGCCGTTGGTGGGAGGTTCCAGCCAAGGTGGCCCGAGCACGGTGCTGCGCCCCCCAAACCGAAGCACCGTCACCCCGGTTACAGCAGCGAAGATCGGATCCAGAAGCTCACCGAAGTGGTACAAAACACAGACAGGTGAGGTTCCAGAAGCCCACCGAAGAAGGCACGAAGGAGGACGAAGAGACCCTTTTTGGCGCCCCCTACGGAGCTCCGAAGGGAGTGGAAGACCAGCACCAAGCAGACTAGACCAAGCAGACTAGACCCAGAACCAGCGTAGCTGAATTTATACGATCCTCAGCTGAGAAAACAGCTGCACCTCGCTGCCCATGGGGCAGCTAGGTGAATGTCAGTGCAGGCGGGCTGCTTGATTCAGCGGCATCGTGAATCGTTTCAAGAACTGTATTGGGAGGGATGGAGCCCCCAACTGCCCTTAGAGGAATCGGACCATCTACTAGGACCCTCCTGTCGGGGTGTCCTGGCTCGACTACCCCACACTACCTGTAGGCTTCCAGACAGGGCACCCCGACAGGAGGGTCCTAGTATATATCCTGTTTGGTAGAGGACTTGAGTTCCTTTTATGCTGCGGCCCTGCCATCCACTTCCATCCAACTCGGTTGATGGAGGGATCATTCAGATTTATACCAGCACCCGACTGTACAGGTCTCCGAAATGGAGGCTTTTGTAGACTTAAAAGTCGCAAGTGGTGACCTGTGAAGGAGGGTCCTGGTCGTTGATATGTTTTTGTATGACCTTCTTGGGTGGATTGACGACCTGTCTTTTTGGATGTTGGAGGAGCTAACCTTTTGAGCAAGCAATGGCAGGTAGCATCAAGAGGAATGCGGCAAAGCCGCGTCCACTGTTTTCCCATTCGCAACCACCGGTGGTGCAAACTTGTCAATGTGTTTCCTTCTAAGGATGCGATGGATTTGGATCAAGCGTGATCAACTTGCATACAAGAACTTGACAACACTGTTGGAAGTCCAAGGTAATCTATGTGGAATATATGGGGGAGGTCCTTCTTTTTTCTCTAGAATGAGGGCAACCACCGATGTTTTTTATGGGTCCTGACATGAACGAAGTAACAGAAGCACGAGCGCTTTCCAAACGCGCTCCTGTCTCGAGTCATAGCCAAGCTTTGTTGCGAACCTCTACCTGGTTTCGTGGCACATTGGGTGATTTGAAGATGATCCCCTTGAATGAATCTCCTATCAGAACAATCACGACCAGTGACCAGTCGCCAGAACCACGCACCGGGGCCAGGCCGCCGTGCGGTTGGCCGGGGCTCTTAAGTCTTATAGGGCTTGGGGAAGCAGGTGGAGATTAGAAAATCAAGTGAAGTCATGTAGGCTCTGGAAAAATACACCTCCAGTCGTACCTGCTCAGGTTCGGTACTGTTCCACCCTCCTGGGTCGACCTTCCAGTCCCACCGAACCTCAGAATGTACAACTGGAGGGCAAACGGGATCAGAGGATGTTCCATCCATAGTTTGGCGGGGCGAACAACATTTGCCCATACACTCCATGGGAGTGCCATATATACCGCCCCATTGACCTCCCAAACCACCCCAACTGATCGGCGTCCTATGGCACTCCCATGGAGCGTTTGAGATATAAAGCAGAGCGGGCCGCATGGATCTACGTTGATCCAAGCGGCCGCATGGCGGCCGATCTCATCTGGTCCGGTGTGGCCGACTGGTCGGACGATACGATACGGGGGCGGAGTTCTGTTGGACTTCTGATCTGGAATTATGATGATTCCGATGTGGCAGAGTCAATGTAAGAGCATGTTTTTTTTTTTGACCTCAACACTGGGTCACTGAAATCATGGGCAATGGCTCTCCAAAGTGTTTCATGATATGAAATAACACATCGTGCGGCTTCTTCTTGAGGATCATGATCTGCGGTTTAAGTGAATTGGATCAGCACGAAGCATTGATTCCCTTCAATCAAACCGCAGACAGAAGCCTTGTTTCCATGCTGTAGGTACCACACGAGTGAAGAGAGTGAAGATCGGTTCGCGGATCGGTGAAGAGGATCGGTTCGCATCTTCCATGCTCGATGTCCCCGAAAAGCTGTTTTCTTCGAACCGACATCGGTTTCGGGCGTTTGCTCGAAAACCGTGACAAAGAACCTCTTTATACGGTCGTTTTGGGGTTGCAGATCTTCGGCTCTTGCGATCCACCATGTTTGGGACGGACCCATGTCCTCTGAGTCACAACCCCCTTGGTGGGTCTTCCGTGGCGGGGCTTCCGTGCTTCAGGGGCCTTGTGCCAGACGACGTCGAACCTCATATGGATCATCCGAGTCGAAGATTGGGGCCGGAAGCACCATGATTGGACCCGGGAGTCTCTAAAATTCTTTGAAAAACAAAAGCCCGGGGCAACCCGGTGGACCCCGTGAGGTTCACAATAGACGTGATCTATATAGACTATCCATGACGATCCTTTGGTCGACCTCGTGGAGATTCCCTCCACCTGACTGGACACTGGCATCAACTGGCAGCCATCCGCACGCGGAACATGCAGCTATCTAAGCTGTCAAAGAGCGTGGACCGCCAGGGAGACATCTAAAGCCAAGACTATGACGAGGTCTTCCATTGCAGTAGAATTGGCATCACTTTTCCTCAAAGATCCAAGATCTTGGGGAAGTCCGAACAGTATGATCATATATGTTCCCACATCAATTGGAGCAAACCTCAGTATGTATACAGATGTGCCACTAAATGCATCCAACCACTTCGAACAGCTCTACCTTCACTGGGTTTCGTCACTCGTGTTCACTGCATTTCACTGGCCCATCTTCGACCCTCCAGACCGAACGCGGTCGGAGGTACGGAGAGTGAGAACGTCGGTCACCTCGAAGCACGAAGCACGGACTACGCGACAGAAAGGGTGAAAGGTGGCCGGTGGTGAAGTGAACATAGACCAACAGGAACCAGACCAGGCTGGATCGACTCTCTTCCTCAGGGGGGGAAAAATCGACTCCGGACTCCTCCGGTTCGGGGGTAGACATGGTACCAGCGGTCAGGAAGAGGTGAACAAAGAAAGACGGGAGACGGTGCTCCAACCCAGAGCTGCAAAACCTTGAAACCACCATTTTCCGGCACGGCGAGCAGCAGAAGGACTCCCAGGAGCAGAAGGACTTCCATCGCCATGGCGAAGCGGAGCAGGGTCAGTGCGCCTAACAGTGCGCCGCGGCTTCCGCGCTTGGTTCGCGCGGGGCCGCCTCTAGGTGGTGTCGTGGGGTCAACCTTGCTGCTGGCATTCTTGTGTGGGCCACAGGTAGGGACAGACCAGAGCTCAAAGAATTTTGTTGGACGTCACTCCCCCGACGTCGGTACGGTCAACAGCTTTTAATTAACTTCATGTTTTCATAACTTCATCTTGTTCGATTTGGCGAGACTAAGAGATTCCCTCAATTCTTAGTCCACCTTGTTGGCACCTCATTGGCCATTGCTGGATCTTTTGGGGTGAGCCAACACTCCTGAGTTGTTGGTTCGACCCCCTGTCCAGGTCTTCGTGGGCCTCGTGTCGCCCACGCGCCGTCTCGGCCACGTGCCTCGGTGGGCCGCGGCGGAGCTGTGGCAGGAGGCCTCGCAGGCGGAGCGAGGACGCTCGGAGCTGCTGCTGAGCAAGTTGGAGGAGAGGAAAGCAGGGCAGGTTGATAATGAACTTGGACGATGAATTAGGTTGATAATGGTTTATGAGTTGGTTTATGTCATGATGATGCATGTTCTTATGTTGTTGTATATTCATTAATTGTTTGTTGTATAATCTGTATATGTTAACTATCGCATGATTGTCATGATTCGTCTTATTGTTATTGACTATGTATTGTTCATTCATATGATCAGGAGGAGGGTGATTATGTTGATGATCATGATGATCATGGGTGCTGATGACCGCATGGGAAGTGATCGACGGTCGAGGCATAGCAGTCATGGCATTGCTTGGCTCCAGCATTGTTGGTCGATGTGGGATTGTATCGTGCGCTGGTGGGTCGGAGGCGGGATGTTGGACAGGCAGGGCGGTGGCCCAGCTGGGCAGGCTATAGGCTGGCGGCATGAGCTGATTTTGGGGGATCAAAGAACCAGCAGTGAAGGGAGTTGACATGAGGTTGGACCGACATGCTTCATGTGAGGGTTGCAAAAGGAACATGAGCTTTGAAATGGACTAAAGGGACCCGTGGGTGGGCCACTTCTGCTTCCCGCAAGGATCATCAAGATGGGAAGAAGGTCGCAGACCCTCCTTGACATCAGTTGCTGAGGTCATGTTGAAAAGGTCAGGTCAATGGTCACTTACCAATCCTGAAGTTCGCTGGAAAGGCCTTGGGTGGAGATCATCCCTCAAACTTCCACCTTTTTTGTTCCCTGGTGAAGAGGATTTAGAGGACCCCCTTTGCAGTCAGGAGGTTGATGAAGGTGAGCTACCAAGCTACCTGGGGAGGTCTATACTCATGACACTCCCAAAAAAATCATCGAAGTGGCAATGGCAATGGCCCCCTGTGGACGAGCAGAAGACCTATATATCAGTGATCCTCCACCAATAGGCCCGATGCTTGGTCGGTTCACGAATCCATGAGGAGTCCACCTGGGAAACCAAACCACCAGAAACCAACAAGCCATTTCCTACCAGGACCTTCCCAGTGACCTCTTTAGGATTGGTAGACGTGACCTGTTCATTCGGCCCTTTCGTGACCTCGGGATCTCAAGGACGGTCATGAACGGTGTCGGTCCTGGTATGTAAAGGATTTCAAGCAAGCCGTATTGGAACCACCCTTTGTTTCTGGTTTGAGAGGTCCACCCTGGTCGCACCGCGCGGCTTCCTCGGCGCCCGGAGTGTCGCAGCGCGCCGGCTTGCGCGTGGGGAGGCTCGGCGCCGAGCCACGCAGGATCTTGAAGGCGTGGGGAGCGAGCAACTGCGGCAGAAGTGCCTCGAGCTGCAGGAGGCCGTGCGAAGCCTCTTGGAGGCCGAGGGCGCCAGCCAGAGCAGCTTCGAGCAGCTCAGGGAGAGCAATGATCAACTGGAAGAGGTGCGGAGATCTGGAGCCAAAAAGCCGTGGTTGAAGCAGAATTACCCAGCCGGGCCGTGGTATTCGTGGGTTCGGGGTTGGGTTCGAACTCTTCTGGCACTCTGCTCAAGGGTCTTTGGGAGAGAGCCTCAACAGCTTGGCGAGCCGATCCCAAGTGGCAGATACAAAAGGAGGTGGCCAAGAAGGGGGTTGCGCAAGGAGTTTTTGTGCTGGATGCTTACCTTCTACTATCCCAGACGCTTAATAGATGCCTACATTAGGGTGGTTTGGGGGGTCAATGTAGGCATATATTCCAGTCCCATGGAGTGTATGGGTATGGTGGTTTCGTTCTTCTCACCTACATCGGGATTTGTTCCAATCCCGGGGCTGGCTGGCGGCTAGCCTCCAGCAGAAGCTAGCGGCTTGTGTCATTCCCTTTCCTCCTTAGGCTGCCATATTGAAGCCAAGATATCTCCACTTAACAAGTATACATCAAGTATGTATAATTAGCAACACCCTTTTCACCCTATTCCTCATACCCCATGGACAAAATTTGGAAAGCACCCAATCTCACACCATCTCACACACCCAGTCCTCACCTCGCAGGCACTGCAGGAGCTGCAGAATCCCGGCCGCAGCTCGTTGCCCTCCTTCGTCCCCGACGCCGCGCTCCCCGGCGACCCCGTGCGCATCGACGTGCTGCCGCCGGCGCGCGAGACCGACGGCCCGGCGCTGCTGCCGGGCGAGGCGCACGTGCGCGTGTCGCTGCCCTTGGTGGACAACGGAGCGGCTTGGTTGGTGGGTTCCTGGCCCATCTCAGAAGGCGGTTGGACCAACAGAGGTTGAAGAACCCTAGTTCAACTATCCCAGTTGGGTACCCCAGTAAGGCCCTAGTTCAGGTCACTGACTTAACCTCTCTTGGGAGCCCTGGGGTGTGGATGTGTTTGGTTGGATGTTTTCGTGATCAGGACGATCCTGTTTGGGTCAAGGGATCTCCATTGGAAAACCGAGACAGGATGGTGCTAAGTATTTTCTTTTTTGGGGGGTGTGGGTTAAAGGGCGGTTTTTGAGTTTTTTTGGTGTTTGATAGGTTCAAGTGAATGAGGTTAGGTCTGACATGATAGGCAGAACGCCAACATGAAAAGGCGGATGTCAGATCTCTAGGACGAGACGCCCAATACGCCGTTGTGGGCGGGTCCCAGCAGCATCACAGCAGCATCATCCACAGGGCGGGTTTTGTTCTGACGCCTGGCAGCTGCTCACCCGCTCCATGTTTGGAGACGTTTAGATGACCAGCACAGCAACACTTTGAGCAACACACCAGGCACCGCAGGCACCAGTCGATGTTTTGTTCACCGCCTTTGAACCGCCAAATTCTGACCTTTGGACGTCTGGGCCCCGAAGATGCCCAAGGCATGTGGCGTTGTTTCGTTTTCCATGTCTTATCATGTCTTTCAAGGAGTCTCATGTCATCTCATGTCAAGGTTTTTCGACGGGGAAAAGTTCTGGGTTCTTCTTGAAACCATCGCGAATATGACCAAACCCCCCCCACATCGTCGCGCCTGAATCAGGAGCCCATCATCTCGTTGGTGTTGCTTGTTCTATTTCCCTATTTGGTTCAATTCCGTCTGGAGAAGATGGTTTTTTCCTTTTCTTCTCCGGTTCCCATCCGGTCGCCAAATCCAAATTGGCTCTCCATCTCATCCATCTCCTGCGTCACTCCCGAGGAGGTCATGTGGGGCTGCGACTTGACGCCGCTCTTCGAGGAACAGCCGCGCAACCCGCGCGCGCTGAGCCGCGCTCCGGTGGACCCGGGGCCGTCTCTCTTCGGACCGAGACAGACCGACCAACGTCCGAGCGCGGGAAAGGGGCGGGTGCGGGCGAGAAAGGGTGAAGAGAACTAATTCAAAGACACATTTGTATACCAGGGCCCCCCGGGTTTGGGGTGGTTCATAGACATCCCTTAACCTCTAAAGAGCTATAATTGGACACCCCTGGCCCGCAGGCCCTGGTATAACGTGGTTCTCTTTTGCTGCTAAAGAGTTGTCCGCTCGGAAGTTGAACAACCACGTTCTGCAGCTTCCTTGAACCTGCCCGTGATAGTAGATCCACTTCACTTCTTTCATCCTGAACATGTCTCCCCCCCCAAAGAAAGAACAGATTTGCTTCTGACCACCAGCAAAAACTACCACGGCCCATGGGGAAGCAACAAAACTACACACAAACAAAACAAAGTATGACATGCTTCGCGCAACCATCATCATGCGCCATGTCATCCTTCATGCAGCAAAAAAACCACCTGCGTTGTATACGCCATCCCAACGGCAGGAGTCGGGCGATCGCTTGATGTTCTTCACCGCCTTCCTGCCGCTGGGCCTCCAACTCACCTCCGCTCCGCGGCCGTCGGAGCTGCCCGGCAGCGCGGAGCTGATTCGGGTGGAGGCGGTGGAACCCAAAGGCGAGGCGGAGCTCCTCGGGATCAGGAGCTGGGGGTCTTGACCGCGCGGGGTCTTGACCGAACGCAGGTTTGGGGGAAGGCGGCTTTTTTCGGGGCGATGCTTGAAGCGATTGGAGGAGGGAAAAAGAGGTCTGGATTCATAAGTGACTTTCATATGATATGACCTGTAGTCCTCAAACCGTGTCATTGTCCCATGTCCTTCTCTTTCCCCCCCCAAAAAGAAAGAGGAATGCGAACTTCCACCTCCTCACCTCCTTTGCGCGGAAACGAGCGACTCTTGGCGTCTGGCGTCTGGCTGGATCGTCCCTGCTGCCTGGCGACCGTGTGGATCTGTCCGGAGGAGCGGCGACGTGCTGCGCGCGGTGTCCTACGTGGGCGCAGGGCCTGAGCCGGGCTGGTTGGACAAGATGCTGGGCGCCGAAGCGATGCCCATGAAGCAGGCGGAGCCTGGGGGAACTGGAGCGGTGGTGCGGTGGTGCTTGTGGAGGTTCAGGTGGTTTTGGAGTGGTCGATCTCTGAGGTAGATGGAGGCCATTGCTAGGAGGTTGGAGGCCATTGCCATTAGGTTGTTTTTGCTATTAGGTTGGACGCCATCGCTACTGGGGTGGAGGCCATCGCAGAGTGGTTTTTGGAGTGGTCGATCTCTGAGGCCCTACTAAGGATCGATCTCTCTTCTGCCCCCAAACAGTGCTTCCACCCAGACGCTCCGTTCACAGCTCGACTGGTCCCTCAAAACCCTAGGGATTTGGGACCCCAAACCCCTCCAGAGGATTCGGGCCCAGGGTCGCGTCTGGGCAGGCCTCGCTTCCTCGCTACCGAAGCGAAGCCCGGCTCGGTACCCTCAACGGGGGTCGGTGTAGGGAATTGAATGTCACATATTCCCTGATGCGCTCCCCCGGTCTCTCTTCATCTTGTCGGTGGGTGGATAGGACCGGGAACCGTCCGGGAACCATGGAGTTTCGGCCAGCCGGCTGAAACTGGTTGGCCATCGGGTTCCTTTCCGGCCAGCCTCCCGCCCTCTTCTGGATGGGTCCTTTTGATGAGTTTCCTGTCGGCACTCCATGTAGTGTGCCAGATGTGCCGATCAACAAAAAGGTGGGAAGAAGGGGCTCAATGTATACCCTAGGGCTCCAGTCGTACCTCCTGTGAATGTATTTGGGCATATTTGGAGCCTCCTGGCACCCACCCAGTCCCACCTTCTTAGAAGTTACGACTGGAGGTTTAGGGTAGAGGATGGTATATATATATAGGCATATATGATGCCAGTTGACTCGCGGCGTCGCCTCGCTTCGCCTCGGTTCGCCTCGGAAGCCTCGCTCGATGTTCGAGCGCGAACGTGTCGGTGTTCCCAACGAGACGTGCGAACGTGCCAATGACCTCCTTAAATGGTGTACCCTGGAGGTTTCAGCCCAAGCACTGGGAAGGTCCTCCAAGGTAGAACGTTCAAGATGTGTTCAACAGGAATTCTACGTTTCTATCATATCTAGCCTGCACTCACGTTCTACAGGAGTGTTGTAGGATGTTGTGCTTTTCAGTGTCAAGGGAATTAAGGGATGCTTTTGTAGTCTGTGGGCATTGACCTCAGGTGCTCCCACCACTAAGAGGAATAAGTCACCACTGCTGTGCCATTTGGGTCTCTCTTTAGGTTGGAGGCCATCGCTACTAGAAACAAAGAATAAAGAAGAGGAAGAACGTATAGTTTCATTGTAGTGACTTGCACTATCAACGGCCATCGGTCGTGATGATATCAGGAGGGTGATGAGTTCCAAAGGGGTGCTTCATGAAGGTTGGAGTTGGGTGCCCAAGAACCACCACATCCACAGCCACGGTCGGATGGGACGAAGCAAACCATGCCTTTGGAACTGCGTTCGCATCTCATTCAACCTATCTCTGTTGCTGGTGTCGTGGAACAGGTCATGAAATGCGATGGCCGCCCACTTGAGGAGGCGGCTTCCGGAGATTCGTCCGCCGCATTCGGCCGAAATGGCCATGCGGCCAAGCCAAATGTCTGAGGTTGAGAAGGGCAGCGCTGGGTTGAAAGCTTCAATTCCCCGACACAGCGACCGGGACAAGTGGATAAGATTTCAACCATTGTTGATCCTTTATTGGGCTGAGCTCAGAGCTCTCATCCTAATATAAGGAGTTTAAAGGGATCCCTGCGAACGACATGCTTTGAATGTACGACAGCGACCGTCGACCAACATATTTAAAACATCCATCGTCTCGGAAAACGGGCTGTTCCAGCAGTGAGAAGTCTGGTGAGTGAACAGTCTGCCAAAGCTGACACGGAATGAACGTCCCTCCTGCTTCAACGCCCGTGTCACCTCCACGCCCGTGTCACGTGCCGTGCCGTGCTCGCGTCACGATGTCGCGGCCGCCAGGTCATTGAAGCGCTTCAGTCCAATAGCAAGAACCCCGACGGTCGCCTCGTGCTGCTGCTGGAACGACCCTGAGACGCACGCGACGAACGACGAACGACTCGCCGCGAGGACAGAGTCACGACGCGACGACCGGGGGGCGCCCGAGCGGCGGCTGGACCATTCTCACCCGGCTCCCGGCCAAAGGTGTCATTCACAGTGAAATCGGTTCTTATAATTCAACATAGTACTGTTCTTTGTTATTATATTGGCCAAATCATTTCAATATTACCTGGTTTTTCTTAGTAGGGGCGCCACTGGGGCCACAGCACATTTTTTG